AACAAAGTCTTTGTAAATAGGGAGGAATGGAGGGGTTGAAGGGAGGGCTGGGCAAGGGTGAAAAATAAGAACCAAGAGAGACCATGTAAAGGTGCAAATTTCCAACGATGAATGTCATTATATTGTATACCTAAAATGTACCAATAAAATGAAATTTTAAAAAAAACAAAGAATAGCTCCTGAGACAGGAGGGGTCTCAGAGGAGTTGCCTATGAGCCCATTTCTCAAAGGAAGTTTTAGAGCCAGGTCCCAAGGTGTGGGTACAACGTGGGTAAAAACTGTAATCAACCAGTAAGATTACAAGTATAGTCTCTTATGTAATATTGACCCACTAGCAATAAGGGCATATGGATGACATCATTAATCTTGGTCCATAATCTGTAGCCTCATTCATAGTGGCTTTAGTCTAAGTGGGTTGGAGAGGATGGCCCATTCAAAACTGTCTATGTATTCTGGAAACCTCAAAAAAAGTTGGTGCCAGTAAATTTCAAGCTTCTGGCCGGGGATTTAGCTCAGTGGCACAGCACTTGCAGAGCCAGGTCCTGAGTTTGATCCCTGGTACCAAAAACAAAACAAAACAAAATTTCAAGCTTCTATTCATTCCTTGGGGAAATATCCAAATCTGGCCATCGTGACTTCAACCTTCTTTGCAACTGGGGATCGAACTCAGGACTTTGTGCTTTTGAGGCAGGCAGCAGAACCTCCGAGCTAAATCCCCAGACCCACTTTAACCTTCTTTAGATGTGCCCCCAACCACACCTTTGCATTGACTTCCTTGAGGGCCCAGCCTGACTGCCTACAGTATTTCTGACTTAGCTCTCTGTATCACAAGCACTGTGATTTGGAGTTCTTATCCAGTGCAGCCAAAACTAATCCTAACACTCAAACTCTGTCACTTGTAGACTCTTAAAAAATAAAGGCACGTTTTAAGATTTCTGCCTAGCCTCTAGAACTCCAGGTATTTTGTACGCCACCACAGAAGATGACCTAAAAAGATGACTCTAAGTTCTAGGTTCTAAGGAGTGGTTCAATAGCAAACCAGACTACATAATTTTGGTAGATAAATTCATAAATTGAATTCCAGGTTAGCAATACATGAGTTTAAAAACTTAAACAAAACAATGCATAGTTTAGGTTTTTAAACATTTTCATTTTTTAAAAACATTTTTAAGAAAATAATCAGTCAGGAAACATTTTATTTCTCTGGAAAAATTATCATGAATTATTCAAAGATCAGTTTTAAATCACTCAAGGTGAATTAAAGCTTTCATGAGATTTAGGTACAATGTATCACTGAAAAGCGAAATAAGCTTGTTAACTTCTTAATCTTTTATATTAACTGAGTTTAAGTTGGGAACAGTGCTGGGTACTACCCTCAGCTGCTCGCCAAGCTGAGGAAGGAGTATGGTTTGAGCCCAGGAGTTCAAGGCCAGACTCAACATGGCAAGGCCCCATCGCAAATAAAATCCTTTAAGTTTCCCATTACCAAATGATTTTATATAATCATTGAACAAGTTTTTCCATTATTTGAAATGAATGAAATACAAAGGTCTCCAATGTCTGAGAAAGTAAAATTCTATCAATTAGAACCCTTACCTTCTTAAAAAAAAAAATGCTAATGGCTTGATTGTTTTCTACTTTTATCAGGGTACTAAGAAAACAAATTCACTTGGAATTTTTGTTTTTCTTACCTCCAATGTTGCTAGAAAATGTATACTGGGGATAATGGTGCAGCATGTCAGGAGGCTAAGGCAGGATGGCAAGTTCAAGACCAGCCAGGGCAACGTAGTGAGACCTTGTTTCAAAATTTTAAAACTTTTGTGAAAAGGGCTGGGTCTGTAGCTCGGTGTGTAGGCTCCGGGTTCAGTCACTAGTACCATAAACAAAACAAAATCAGCGCCTACACATTTATTCACACAATTTTGAAGTCATCCCCAGGCTTAAGCTCATGTTCCCAATCCTCTCCGTCTTGCCTGAAGCTTCTCCCTCCTGACACTGGGCAGCAGTGTCTCTGAGGCTCCTGATTAAAAGAAGGGGCGGGGAAAGGAAAGGAAAAGGAAAAATGCTGAGAAATGGAAAAAATGGAAATAAAGTCTTTGTAAATAGGGAAGGGTGGAGGGCATGAAGGGAGGGCTAGGAATGGGGAAAAAATAAGAACCAAGACGCATTATGTAAAGGTACAATTCCCAATGAGAAATGTAATTGTGTTGTATACCTACAATGTACCAGTAAAAGAATTTAAGAAAAAAAAAAGCAGCAGCTCTTTCCTTGATAAAACCTTATATAAATTCTCTACCATCTAATAGAAAGACTTGCCAAAATTAGGAGCTCAGTATTTAATGACTAAAAATTGAGATGCAAATCAAACTTCAGTGCCTCATTAAATTGTGCAGAATAGCATCTGAAGACTTCAGGGAGTCTACGGCACAGATGGCTTTAGAGATCAAATAATTATCACACATCTATGAGAGAAGAGCACTGGCTCTCAGAGCACCTAAAAGCTCAGATAGGGGCTGACAGGTATCAAAGATACTTGAAGCTAGGTATGAGAAGTGGTAGCAACCTGGACCAATTCTGCACTATTTGCCCAAAGGCATTTAAATTAAAATTATTTTAAAATGTTAATTACAATTTGTCTTAGGCATTTGACTTAAAAAAAAAAAAAAAAAAGACAAATTCAGGTATTTCAGTGTAGTTTGACATCTATTTTTTTTTTGGTACCGGGGATTGAACTTGTGACCTTGCGCTTGGGAGGGAGGCACCGGAACCACTGAGCTAAATCCCTGGCCCTGACATCTATTTTTCTAAGTCTTCATGGACATCCAGGGCTGTCCTAGACACTCAAGAGAAAGAGAGGAGGGAAATGACCTAAGATTGGCAAAGTTTAGCAAAGAGTGAAGTGTTGCACAACTATGATCCTGTCTTTTGTTGGCCCTTGGGTTGAGATCGTAAGATACATGATCCGTTATGCTTGTTACTACTCAAAGGAATGGTTTCCTAGGATTCTTGAGTTATTTCCAGAGTGTCTGTCTCAATCACTCTAACAGAGAATTTCTTTTTTTGGGGGTACTGGGGATCGAACCTGGGTCCTTGCGCTTGCACAGCAGGCGACGAAACCACTGAGCTAAATCCCCAGCCCTAACAGAGAATTTCTTAAAAGCATTTACTATGTTTATTTCTCTACACTACAGCTTAGCACACAGTAAATACCAAGTAAATGTTTTGATTAAAAAAAAATGAAAACCTTTTATATTACTGCAATCAATCAATCAATCAATCAATCAATCAATAAATAAATGGGGCCACTACCTTTTCACCACCAGCTCTAACCTCAATTAACACGCCTCCTAATCAATCCCATTCCACTTTCAAATTCATTCTAGCTTGCAACAATAAGAAAAGGCTGGAGGAAAAATCATGAAAAGATGGACTAGAAATATTTTTAAATAGCTATAATCATCCTTCAACAGACAAGCAGCAAGTTTGAACCTGACACACAATCCACACAGACTCAGTTCCCCTATGCAGTCCTTGCTTATGCATTTTATTTTCATTTTAGATGAATGTACAAAAGACATGATTATAGTGACAGTTAACATCAACCCTGGAAAAGTACTATACATTTGGGAAATCCATGGTTCAGTCCTTTTCTGGTACTCTTCACCACTCTGCTTTCCTGGAAGGAAATTCATGAGCTATAGTATTTGAGGAGCTCCTCATCTATAGGCTTTAGAATTTTCTTATCTGCCATATTTACCACCCATCCAGGAGCAAGACCAAAGAAAATCTGCCTTGGATCCTTTCGAGTACTGAGCATTTTGAAGAGTTCATCTTTGGTGATATCAGGTAGGATATAACCATACTTCCTGGCAAGTTCAAGTCTTGCTTCAGGAAATTTGCTGGGATCCGCCAGGTAACCTCGGTTCTTTGCATCAGTATAATATGGTACCAGCTCTTCAGGTGGGAGCATTCGTTTTGGAATGGGTTGTCCACGTAGAAAGAATGGGACAGGTTTGCACACAATTCCTGAAAAATAAATACATAAGAAATATGAATACTGGTTCTATACATGATAACTATATTACAAATTTAATTATTTATTTTTTAAATCTACTGAAATGAGATAATCCACATAAGAGATGTACATCTCTAAATTTGCTATTCCCTAAGTAATCAAAAAAATAGCAGAGCTGGGGATTTAGCTCAGTGGTTCCGCTGCCTGCCTCGCAAGTGCAAGGTCCCAAGTTCGATCCCTGGTACCAAAAAATAAAAATTAAAAAAAATAAATTTAAAAAAAATTTTAAAAATTTAAAAATAGCAGCTGGACTGGGGATATAGCTTAATGGCACTGTGCCTGCCTGGCAAGCACAAGGTCCTGAGTTCGATTCTTGGTTTATTAAAAAAAAAAAAAAAAAGCAGCAGCTAGTAGGAGAAAGACAGAAAGAAGAAAACTACCCAAGAACAAGCTTACCCAGACTTCTTGGGTCATAGAAGGCAGTAGTAACCACCCCACCATTTTTTTCAATTGCAGCAATGGCTACTTCAGAAGCCAACTGTACTTCAATATTAACTTTCGCCTTAAAGGTGTCAGCACCCTGTCATAAGTCAAAACAAAGACTGTTAGTAAATAGCTTGGCTAAAGAAAACTAACCACGTCAAGATTCCTTTTTAAACTGTGTGTTCCCCTCCAAAGTACCTACAATGTAATAATAATTCCTGTTTTTAAATATCTATGTTGGGATCCTATCAAAAAAAATTTTTTTACATTAAGGCCATTCTATTTTTATCAATTTTCAATCCCTGTAAATAGGAATGACTACACTCCCATTTTATGTATTTAGTAGATGCCAATATAACCACCCATTCCTGATAATTTACTGACAGGAAGACTGTTTAATTCTCGTAACAACAGGATTACTGCTTTATCAGACAGGATTATTGCTTTATCAACTTCACAGATGGAGACACTGAAGCACAGAGAGGTTAAGTAATTTGCCCAAGACCACAGAGCTAAAATTCTAATCCAGGGAATCCAAGTGGCACATGCCTATAATGCCAGCACTTGGGACTCCGAGGCAGGAGGAGGCAGGAGGACTGCAGCACGTTGAGGCCAATCTGAGCAACATAGTTCAAGGCCACCCTGAACTATAGGACAAGACCCTATCTCAAAAAAAACCCTAACTAATCCATTATTTAAGGGGTTTTTTGGTTTGTTTTCATTTTTGCAGTGCTGGAAACTAAATCTAGAGCTGTGTACATGTTAGGCAAGCGCTGTGCCACTGAGCTGTGCCTGCAGCAGCATCTGTGTTCTCTGCAACATCGTGCAATTTGATACAGATAAAATTAATCCTCCTTATACCTATATAAAGCAAGAGGCCAAGAGAAGGCTAAAGAAGGGACAAGACTGAACCAGGCAGAACAGAATACCTGACAATATCTGAGCTTTGGAGGCTTGGTTCTCTCTAGCAAAAAGGCAAAAACCAGATTTCTTTTCACTACTGGCAATTGAAGCAAGGCCCTGAGTGTCTGCTCGGCAAACACTCCACCACTGAGCTGTCCCCGCCCTCTCCAGTCTGAGTCAGGACCTTGCTCAGTTGCCCAGGCTGGCCCTGAACTTGCAGTCCTTGAGATCCCACCTCCTGAGCAGCAAGGAGTACAGGCATATGCCCATTACATTCAGCCAGAGATTCATTGTGCACTCACTACTGACTGTTAGTTTCTAGGCTGGAGATAAAGAAAAAAACAAAAAGTCTACTTTTCACCTGAACCTTCAATAAAAGAAAATGTAATACTGAACTTTTGAAAATAATGATGTTTTTAGTCACATCAACCAGGATTTGCTAAATTTTTCTCCTCTTTCAAAACAAAAAGATGGCAGAATTACTACTTTTGTGGCAAAAAAAAATCTTTTTATTTTGCTGTGCAACCTAGCTCCCAATCTGGTTCTTTTTATGAAATTTTCATGCACTTTAAAACTATTCCATTATCTCTAAGATGATTTTTTCCCATTTTTCTGACATTGGTGTGCATTTTTATAATCAACAGTACCTTTGATTCATAAAATAAGGCCTTATTTGTGCTTTTTAATTATTACTCAACAGAATTCCACTATTTTCAATATTATAAACAGCATTTTTAGGAAGGTCTTTTATCACATTTATTTTAATCTTCCTTAAGAAATATATTTCCCAATTGACAATTTTGGAATCAAAACAGTTTCTTTTTCTTTTTTTTGGTATTTTCTTTTTTTTCTGGTACTGGGGATTGAACTTGGGTCCCTTGCACTTTCAAGGCAGGGGGTGGAGCTACTGAGCTAAATCCCAGGCCCCTTTCAAAACAGTTACAAAAATCTATTATTTCCTTGCAAATCTGAAATTAAGAAAAGGCAAACATTTTACAGACCCATAAATAACATGTGACTACATTTATTCCACCACTGCCTTAGGGCAGAGTTTTCAGGATAATTTTTGCTAGTCTAACAGACACACACCCAGAGATTACTGGGATGTGCTGATGAAGTCATGGGCTTTTCATGTGTTAAGACACGTCTATTTCCTTATATACACAGAGTAATACACTGAGGGTTAACCATGTATTTGATATTCTCTTTTCAAACTATCTTATCTGAAAAGGTATTATCCATTCTTGTACTTTTTTAAAGACATCTGTAAGATTTTTCTATCATTATATACTTCCCTCTAGTGGACACTAGGTTTCCTGTGGCACTACATAAAAGCAGCAGTGGTTGATTAACAATATACAAAAATTTATTTCCTTATAAACTCCTGGTCAGTTACTACAAACAGAAGACTTTGCTGTGGTTAGAGCGTAATATGATATATTCCTCTTCCTCCTTTTTTTGTTTTTGGTGGTACCGGGGATTGAACTCAGGACCTTAAGCTTGCAAGGCAGGCGCAGCATCACTGAGTTAAATCTCCGGCCCGAGTTTTGATCTGTTTTTTTGAGACAGGATCTCACTGTTCAGGCTGGCCTTGAACTCACTATGTAGCCCAGTCTAGCCTCGAACTCACAGCCATCCTCCTGCCTCAGCCTCCTAAGTGCTGGGATTACAAGCGTGTGTCACCAAACCTGGCTTCCCCATAAATATTAACTGAGTGACTATCATGTACTAATATTTCCAGAATTGAAAATATGTCCAATTAGCTGCTCTCAAGAAAGCTTGCATTTTAGTGATGAAGACAACGAAACACAAATGTGTAAATTGTAATAAATGCAAATGTTCATATACATTCAAAGAAAAATGTTTTGGGGCCAGGGATTTAGCTCAGTGGTTGTACTGCCTGTTGCGCAAACACAAGGACCCAAGTTTGATCCCCAGTACCAAAAAAACAAAAACCAAAAAGACCTTCCTGATATGTTGACATTTGGGCAGAGACTCAAAAAAAGTTGAGAGTGTAAGCTATACCAATACAGAGAAGCACATTCCAAGATAAGGGAGAACAGTCCTGCAAGACAGTTCAGCTTTGCAAAACTAATGTGTAAGAACACAACTCAAACTGAATAAAAACAAGAGGGCAGCCAGGGATTTAGCTCAGTGGTTCCACCGCCTGCCTCGCAAGCACAAGGACCCAAGTTCAATCCCCGGTACCAAAAAAAAAAAAAAAAGAGGGCAGGATATTAACTATAGCAATCCCCCTTTATTCACAGTTTTGCCTACCTTGGCTTCCATTACTCAAAGTCAACCATGGTCCAAAAAATTAAATGGAAAAATCCCAGAAATAAACTCATAAATTTTAAATTGTGTGCTGACTAGTGTGGTGAAATCTCATGCCATTCCACCCCATCTTGCCCAGGACAGGAATCACACCTTTTCCACCACATCCATTTCATATGGTACACACTACCTGTCCATTAGTCTCTTATAGTATCACAACACTTCTATTCAAGTAACCCTTATTTTACTTAATAATAGCCCAAAAAGTGCAATAGTAGTGATAATGACAATTCAGGTATTCCAAAGAGAAGCCATAAAGTGCCTTCTTCAAGTGAAAAGGTACAAATACTCATTAAGGGAAGAAAAAAATCTTATGCTGAAGTTGCTAAGATCTGTGGCAAGTTACTGATATTAATCTTTTATGTGTCTAATTTACAAACTAATCATATCACAAGTATACATATGTAAAGGAAAAACCATAGGTTTTGATATCCATGGTTTCAGACATCCACTTGGGATGAGGTAAGACGGGAACTACTATATATGGAAATAAAAAATATGTTTCTACATAACCCTAAGACATCTAATCCAGACTTACCTCCTCAACCAGCTGGACACCATAATCCCTTTTAAATGGCTGGATGGTCACACCTCTCCCATTGACAAGCTGGGTTAAGTCAATAGGTTCAGTAGGATCAACTCGACCCAAATCAATAAGATACTGCAGTCTCTTGAGACTCAAAGGCTGATACTGACGTCTGAAGCTAGGATCAAGAAAATAACAATTTGAAAATAAAGATTAATTTTCCTGCAACTTCGCCAAATCATCTCAAAGCTTTGTCCTTTCTTTTCCCATCATTTTTTTTTTGGTACCGGAGATCGAACTTGGGTCCTTGTGCTCACAGGGCAGGTGGCGGAACCACTGAGCTAAATCCCCGGCTCTCTCCATCATTTTTGATGGTTTGACAAAATAAAAACCTTCTGACTACCTCACAAACAAGTAATATTGATGGATTTGAGGTACTTGAGAGTAAAAATAATCTACCTCTATGAGCACTTAAGTTTATTCACATATACAAATAAACAAATTTACGAAAAATGTTATTATCTGAATTACAAAGCAGGGGTCTACAATGGGCCAGATATATTATCTGTATCTACCTACATATCATTTTTTATTGCTAATCCTTTAAGCAATCATAATAGGCATAAACATCTCCATTTTGTAGGTCTGAGTATATCTGGGCTTTTTTTCTCTACTCATCCAGGCTGTTTCATTACTGAAAATGATTTAGGAGCAAAAAAAAGTTTGCTTTGAAATGAATTTTAAAATTCTACAAAATTACTCTTTTAGGTGATTTTAAGTGGAAATCAGGGGTTGTAATTTACCTGTGTCCTTCATTAAATCCGTATTTTGGGATTCGGAGGTAAAATGGAGTCTGGCCTCCCTCAAAGCCCAGTCTGGGCCTGGTTCCTCTTTGCCTCTCTCCTTTATGGCCTCTGCCACATTTTCTACCTCTTCTCCGACCTCTCGGCCGTCTCTCCTACAAGGAAAGAGTTTTAGGACATTCACATACATTTCTAAAAACTGCACTTCACCTTTTTGCTGAATATTTTTGGTTATGCCATTCACTCATCCAACCAACCAGTACTAGCTAATGCTTCTGTGTCACTGTTCTTTGGGCTGCTCCAATAGCCACGTAGCCTATTAGCATCTTTGCCTCTGAAGACGTGACAATTCTTTTTTTTTTTTTTTGGTGCCGGGGATTGAACTTGGGTCCTTGCGCTTGCGCAGGAGGCAGCGAAACCACTGAGCTAAATCCCCGGCCCACCAATTCTTGTAATCAAAGGTATGTTTCAAAGGTAAAGTTCCAAGAATAAGAGACGGGATATGACCAGACAGGAACTAAAAATATCCTAGAATTAAACATCAAAAACAAGCTTCACGAATGTCCAAGAAATGATTTTTATTTTGGAATTGTAAATATAAAGCTGTTACATATTATTTGAAGACTAACAAAGTATTTTCCTTAAACTTACTATCACTTCACAGAATCAAAAAAAATATTATCTTGACTGTTAAAATGACAATCTGTCGACAACCAACAGCTTTTGCACCTATATTCAGTGAACTGCGGGAGTAAGTCAATTTACATCGTTGTAATGATGACTGATACATCTTCTAGGAAAGGACCTCATTTTAAATGCAATTCTGAACGACAATCATGTTGCGGTTTCCGAGTTTGCGCCCCTAATATTTTTATGCTCTAAATGTAAACCTTATTTTTCTTTAAATGTAAACCTTATTAAGAGTTGGGGGAATACGGAAAGATTATCTCTGGGCAGTGAAGGGCACCCGGCTCAATAACCCTCCGCTTAACACAGCACCCTTTGGCAAAAGCTGTTCCCCAGAACGCCAAGAGTAACAAGCCGCGGCCATTGCCCGTGTCCCCAGCGCCCCCTGATCCACCAACAGCCATTTACCGGTTTCCTGGAGCCGGGGTTGGGCTTTAGGTTGGCCAGGCTCACACGCGGCAATGACCGGAGCAGGTCCAGGGACCGGGCCCCACCACCCTGCAGTGAGCTCGCCATGACCCACAAGCCCCAGGACTTCTAGGACGCCGGAAGCCGCATTGGAGGCCACGTGGTCTCGGAAGGCTGCTTTACGGCAGCTGCCGCGCCCCTGTCGCGCTGCTGCAGCCGCGCTGTTAGCCTCAGAATCCGGCAGAAGCTTAGCAGTTTTCTCGTTTGTGTCGCAAACTGTCGTGAGACGGGCCGTTCTTTCTTATTTTACAAGCTCATTCTCTGTTGGTGGGCTTCACGCGCTATTCTGGTTAAAAAACATTCTTTTCCGCCAAACTAAAACACGCTTTGAAAAAGTTGTCATTAGAAGATCTTTCAGTATTTGTTTGGCCTTGCATATGTTGTGTAAGATTATCGTGAAACTGCTCTCTTTTCTAAGCTGACTGGAAGCCAAAATAAAATAAAGTGAGCGATAAATTACTTGCTTTTGCGCTTGGGTAATGTAAGATACAAAAATAACACTTAGAGTCCAGCTCTTGGGGCCGGGGATTTAGCTCAGCGGTTTCGCCGCCTCCTGCGCAAGCTCAAGGACCCGAGTTGGATCCCCGGTACCAAAAAAAAAAAAAAAGTCCAGCTCTTAAAATGATTGTAATACCAATCTTTGAATAAGATTAAAGCTATGAATTCTCATCCATGTGTTTATACTGTTTACTCTTAATAATGGGGACCAACCAGATGTGGTGGCACACACCTGTAATCCCAGCACTTTGGAGGCTAAGGCAGGGAGATCGCCACGAGTTCGAAACCAGCCTGGGCTACGCTGTGAGTTCAAAGGCAGCCTGCACTGTAAAGCATGACCTTGTCTCAAAAAAAAAAAAAAAGAAGAAGAAGAAGAAGAAGAATGGGGGCCATACTTAAGAGCCTGGCGTGTGCCAGATGTCGTGTTAAATTAGCTTCAGTCGATTTATATAACAAAACGACTCTAGAGGTAGATGTTATCACACTTGACAGAGAAGGTGTGGCGTGGCTAAATCAGGCAGATTGGCCCAGATCTCATAAGAAGCAGCAAAACTAGGATTTAAACTGCTTCCTATCATAAAACTAGTATCTTTATAATATAAAATTGTATAGCTGCATCACAAAACACAAGTTTCAACTCCAAAAATGAATGGATTTAAAACACACTTCTCATAAGTGAATTTAAAAGACTGTTCCAAACCAGGCATGGTGGTGCACACCTGTAATCTTGAGGATTTGGCTCTGAAGCCCAGTCTGGCCAATCAGCGTTTTAGGAAGACCCTGTCTCAAAAAGGAAAAAGGACTGGGGATGTACCTTGACAAAGGCCTTGGGTTCAATGACCAGTACCAAAAACAAAACAAAAATCTGTTCCTTTCTTTTAATATTCTTTTACTATTTCACTTTCTTACAGGGGAAGCTGTTCCTGGCTGGCTCTTGCTAGTAATCACAGAGAAGCTTAGACAAGTTTTGGAGGGCAGCTATTTCCATGTTTAAACCTTTTTGAAGTTACGTTAAATCATATGTAGATTACATTTAAAAATCGCATTCAAAATGTTCAAATGGGAAGGGGAACAAAAGAGGAGGGAGGGAGAAAGAAAGGAAGGAATGAGAAAAGAGAAAATAGAAGGAAAAAAATAGAAACAAAGCTTTTGTACAAAGGAAGGGGAGGGGGCTTGAGGGGAGGAGGAATAGGGAAAAAAAGGCGGATGTATCATGTACAGGTGCAAATTCTCTACAATGAGTGTTATCATTATGTATGCCTAAAATGTACCAGTAAATGTTTTGCTATTTTTTTAAAAAAATCACATTCATTCTTTTAGTTAACCAATGTTTATGAGCAAGACACTGAATTACAAAATAAACATGAAAGAAATCAAGTAGGATTTTACCCCCAGGCTGTTTGGAGAAAGTTTCAAAAATCCAGTTTTGTTTTGTTTTTGGTACCAGGATTGAAGGCGGATCCTCACGCTTGTGAGGCTGGTGGTGGAACCACTGAGCTATATCCCAGCCCCCCAGTTGTTTTTTTTAATGCCAAAAAAAGTTTGTAGACTTTCTTTTTTTTTTTTTTTTGTACCAGGGATCAAACTCGAGTCCTTGCGCTTGCACTGCAGGTGGCAAAACCACTGAGCTAAATCCTGGCCCGTCTCTTGTAGACTAAATAGGAAAAAATGGAAGAAAAATACAAATATTGTAGTTCTTCAAAATGATATGAAAGTAAGGTCCAGGGTCTACTTAGAAGAAGTGAAAAACATGATAAGCATGGTGGTGCATGCCTGTAATCCCAGAACTTTGGAGGCTGAGGCAAGAGGATCTCTGGGTGTTGAGGCCTGGGCTATATAGCCAAGTTCAAGCCCAGCCTGAACTGCATACAGAGACCTGGTCTCAAATAACCTCCCCCAAAATAACAATAATAATAATAGGAATAGGAATAATAATAAGAAGAAGAAGAACAACAACAACAACAGCAACAACACAAATAGAATATAGAAAAAATACCTGGGTGTAGTGGTACATGCCTGTAATCCCAGCACTTGGGAGGTAGAGACAGGAGGATCACTCCCAGTTTGAGGCCAGCTGGGCTACATAATGAGACCCTATCTCAAAAAAAAAAAGCTAGTTCCCGTCCTTGATGATTTTTTCGGTACCAGGGATCAATCTCAGGACCTTGTGCTTGCAAGGCAGGCACAGTGCCACTGAGCTAAATCCCCGGCTTCTATCCCTGATGATCTTTAATTCATTGGCTTCCATCATCATTTTATTAGAGCTTCCATACTATTGTAGACAGCTAAGTAAAAATAGAAATGAATAGGCAGTCAGAGAGGAATCAGGCCCTCAAGAGAATCAGCGCAGAACATGAGGCACATCAAAAGTGTAACTGGTAGCAAATTTGAAAAGAGCCAGGCCTCAATTTGGAAATGTGTTGGCCAGGCCTGCAAGCCTCGCTGGAGATAAGCAGCAACTTGAGATCACACTGTAATTAACACCACCTGGTCCAGTTGATAGGGCATCAGACACATAGGTGGGTGACCAGAACATCAAGACCCATACTTCCATCCCTTTCCAGGAATGCCTTTATTCTTTTTATATTAGAAATTATATGTAAGTGAAAGTTAGTGATGCTCACCATGTGCCTCATGTCCCTAAGGGATCAATATTAGCTAAGCAACTATACTTGTAATCCTATAGGTTGATTGTAGTTTGACCCATAGCTACCCGTCCAGCTATATAAAATACCTTTGACAAACAGCTTCAGTGGCCACCCACTTGGGACCCGTCCTGGAAGTCCAGGAGCTATTCTTATTTCCAATAAAATTCTACCAACCTCTTCTTTTGGTTTGCAACTTCATTCCTCAATGTTCTGAGGCCACAAACTTGATACATATGGCAACAATACCTTTGAGAAGAAATTTACAAAGTACAATTTCAAACTGTACCGTAATCTACAGAAAGATACACAGTTTTTAATACCTACCTAGAAAAAAGTCATTCTTTAATGTAGCAAAGCTTTACATTTATGAAAGGTAGGAAAAGAAACATGCTCTCCAGAGGAAGTTTGGATCAAGTAAAAGTAGGAAAGAAAAACACTCTACAGATGAGAATAGACTACAGTGAGAGAAAAAAGTAGCTAGAAAATCATTGTTTGCCTTAAATAATGAACTTTTGTTTGAGTGTTAATACCACAAGTATGTTTTGCTGGGCTCAGTGGCACACACCTATAATCCCAGCTGCTGGGGAGGTGGAAGTAGGAGGATCAAGTGTGAAGCCAGGCACAGCAACATAGCTACAACCTGTCTCAAAACAATTTTTTTTTAATTTAGTAAATGAGGTACAGAGAATACAATACACTGTACTTCTTGGAAGTATATAGTATATTTGTTGTGTGATCTATGGAACTTGGTGGGCATTAAATTAATAATAGTGGAAATACTAATGGTTTGCAGTTAATTATAGGCTGCATGTTTGTTTATCCCACCCTCCACATGTTGACTAAGTATAGAAAATTGTCAGAAAAGGTGGGGATGGTGCATACCTATAATCCCACACTCTGGGAGGCTGAGGCAGGAGGACTACAAATCCAAGCCTAGCCTTAGCAAGACCAGCTCAAAATTTTAAAAGGGCTGGAATGTAAGCCAGTGCAAAGACCCTGGGTTCAATCCTTAGTATCTCAAAACAAAACAAAAACTTGTCAGAATAATTTGATGAGTCTGTGTTGCAAGAATGTAAATTAAGGGAGTGTGGTAAATCAGTGATCCTTAAGTTTATAGAAGTTTTACAACATCATCACCATAGCACAATTAGTACTTATTACACACCTATATGCTTGGGTTGTTGTTCTAAGTAAGCCCTGTTTCAATCAAGTTAAGAAGGCTTTATAATAAGAAAATTTTATTTCAACAACTACTGTATTTAAGGTCCATCTTGATTCTAGCCCCAGTTAATAATGATACTGAATCATGACATAAAAAGAAAATGAATCCTAGAAAGATGATGTAATGTGAAGTCCTATGGGAAGGCCTCACACACTCCCACATAATCTTCCCCATCTATACCTGTAGGCATATAGTTTATTAACATAGATTGATTCCTTTGAGCTCATTATTTTAAAATATTCTCAAGATAAGCAGAGTGTGGGAGTGGGGGCAGTGAAACTAAAAGGCAATACATTCATCCCATAAGTAGCTTTGCAGGAACCATAATCGTAAGACGCTAGAAAAGGGAGACTGATCAATATAATCCTGTTATTGAGATTAAAAAAATAAAGCCACATAAACACTTTCTATCCTAAGTGAGATAATTCGTGAAATAATATTTTAATATGTTGGCAGCGACGTGAACAGGAGGAGGAAAAGATTTTCAATTAGATTATTGCTGAATTTTGCTATACACCAAGAAAAAGGTATTTTTAGGATGGGACCACTGTGTGGATGTACCTCAGTAGTAGAGTGCTTGCCTAGCATGTACGAGACCCTGGGTTTGCACCCCGGCACTGCCAAAAGAAAAAAGAAAAGACTCCTAGAATTGGCATGAGGAATAAGTGAGATTTGTGATGATCAACATGGGGGAGGAGTGCAAGCGTAAGGACCCAAGTTCAATCCCCAGTACCAAAAAAAAACAAAACAAAAAAACATGGGGGAGTAGAAAACTGGAAAAATGATTATTCCTTACTGAAGATAGAAGGGAATCAGGGTGGCAGTGCAGTGAATCCTTTTGATTTTGGAAGGAAACTAATATTGAGAGAGGGCTATGAAGAGGGCATGGAAAGGGGCTAGAAACAAATATCACCCTGATAAAATCTACCTAGTTTTACCAAAGCTTGGTACCAAGTTAAAGGTCTTCATTCACGCCAAAATAGGGTTTTGTTTCACTTTTATTAAAGTATGGTAATGCCTACATGTTATGAAAAAAAGTCAAATAGTACATAACCAAAGCACTAATTCCCTATCCCATTTTGATTTTTCCCTCTCCATAATCAATCACTTGAAAAAAAATCAGTACTGGGGATTGAGTGCAGGGTCTCACACATGCTAGGCATGTACTCATCACTAAGTACTCATCACTGAGCTATACTCTCAATTGCATAAGGAGTCACTATTAACTTTGCTTTTGTTTTTTCCTGGTGGATGCCTCCTTACTACTAGTAAAATCTCTCCATCATCTCTTGGAAAGCTGGTGGTGTAATTCCAAGCTATGTCTGAAGGCTTGAGAACCAGGAAACTGCAGGAAGCCAAAGGTGAATTCCTTCTTCCCCTGCCTTTTTGTTCTGTTCAGGCCCTCCCTGGGCTGGATACTGCACACACACTGGAGGGAGGGCAGCTCACTTTACTAAGTCCACTGATTCAAATGCTAATCTCATCCAGAATCCCTTCACAGACATGCCATGAAATAATGCTTAACTTGTACACCCGTGGCCAGTCAAACTGACATATATGATTAACCAAAAGGGATTTGAAAATATGTCCTGGAGCAGAGTTATCGGACCATAAGTACGTACATCTGCAACCTTACTAGATTGTCCCAAATTTCGTGTCAGGCTCATTCACTTTTATACTCTCATCATATACTATACACACTTTTGCCAGGCGTGGTGGCACATGCCTGTAATCCCAGCACTCAGGAGGTTGAGGCAGGGGATTCATCATGAGTTTGAAGCCAGCCTGGGCTACATAGTGAGTTCAGGTCAGCCTGAACTACATAGCTAGACCCTGTCTCAAAAAGAGAAAAATAAAGGGCTGGGAATGTAGCTCAGTGGCGCACAGCCAACAGGCAAGCAAAAGGTCCTGAGTTTGATCCCCAGTACTGGAAAAAAAAAAGACAAAAACAAAAACTAACTATATGCAGTTTTATACTCTCATCATATACTTATATAGGACTAAAGTGGTAAATTATTTCTATGTATATTTCTTTATTTTAAAAGTTAGTCACTACCTATTATTAGTCATTTAGATTTTCCCTTCAGGAGGGCTGGGGATTTAGCTCAGGGGTTCCATCACCTGCCTCTAAAATACAAGGTCTCAAGTTCAATCCCTGGTACCAAAAGAAAAAAAAGAAGATTTTCTCTTCAGGAAATTGCTTCAAATTTGATAGGAAATAATGGAGGGACCAGATACATTTTCTTCCCAAATGCAGCTAGTTATTGCAATAGCATTAGCTGAAAAATCTTACCAATTTTGCACTGATTTGCAATGCCAGTCAAATACCTTTGTCATGTACCTATTTTTCCCATGCGGGTGTGGGGTTTTTTTTGTTGGTTTTCTTTTTTTTGACCCTCTAGAGTTTAATTTTGTTCTAAAAATAAATCCAAGTAACTAAGACTATTCAGAAAATTATCTGATTTGCTTGTCTTTTATTATGCTTGTAATTTACTCTTGCAACTTTTGTGATTCTATAGGATGTCGTACATTTGGTAGGGTTAGCATTGCTACAGTACTCTAATTCTTTGTTAATGTTCCAGAGTATTCTTGTATGTTTATTTTATATTTATGTGGGTTTTTTTGTTTTGTGGGGTTTTTTTGGTACCGGGGATCAAACTCGGGTCTTTGCGCTTGCGCAGCACTCGGCAAAACCACTGAGCTAAGTCCCCAGCCCTGTTTATTTGTTTTATAATTATTTGCACTGTTTTGCAGTTTTCACTATAAAAGTCTTTCACTTTCTTAATGATGTTAATCCCTATAAATACAATTCTATAAAATACACCACTATAACAGTGAAAAGAAAATAGTCTCATCCAAGCAGATTAGTTTAAGTTTCCAGTATCTAAGTATTGCCCTGTCACTTTT